TGACGGTCCTCTTTTTTGATCTCCTTAAAATCTCATTTGTCGTCTTCCTCGCGTTTGTCCGGTGATGTCCTCTAATGCATCTACCGTCCGATTGGCCGCTGCTTGGCAATTGCCATGAGTTCCACATAGATTTTTTTTTTTTTTTTTTTGTAGTAGTACTATGATGCAGACTTTTTTATTATTGTACGATAATAATAATTTGGATAGTACAAATATCTCAAATAATATTTCGTTTACATCATAAATATATTTTACAATCTACTTTTTTATATATTCAATTATCTTTTTATCTCACATACATTACATCACATCACAAAAAATATTACAGTAATTATTTCAAATAATACTCTATTCAAACAAACCAATTATAATTTGTTTTTGGTTCAACGAATTGCTGTAGTACCTAAAACATTCATGGGTCTCGGAAGACTACTCTACTAGTACTTAGTGAGTACCAAAATGTTTTTGTCTTCCAATTGAGTGCTGACCTTAATCTGGTCAACGGAGGTTTTCTAATCCCACTAGACTCAATTACTTGCCTTGGAGATGAATAAAAATTAAAAATGGCAATGGCCAACTCTGAATTGGCATCTGGCGAGAAAGGACATTTTTGAAATTCTGAAATCAATAGAAGAAAAAATGGTTTGTTTGTGTTTTGGTTGAGGAAGATCCCAAGAGCTCTTTTGCTTTGCATGATTGATGAATCTGAACACAAGCTGTACTTGTTTTTGATATATGTATGTATCAAAGGGAGTCGAGCCCTGGATACCGTGGCAGGCAACAAAAAAAAAAAAAGGAGCCGAGCCTCTCCGCCTCCACCGCCGCGCCCTTTGGTCTTCATGATTCATCCCTACGCGGTTGCAATGGTGCGGTGCTGGATTGGATTATGCCAGCTGCCTTTTTTTCTTTTTCTTTTTCTTTACTGTTGATGGGAAAAATTTGCGTATGTGAAAATAGATAGAAGCTTCTGCTCCATCTCACACGAGCATCTCTGCTATCTTTTGCAGTAGCAGACAGTAGTAGTATTTACCTTCCCCGTCATCCACCATTAATTCAATTCATATGCTCTCCTTTTTGCCTTATCCTTTTTTGGCGTTAAAATTGTCGAATCAAGCTTTCGGCCATTAGGGTCACAGCAGGAAAAGGTTTTGGAATTTTATGGGTCCTAACTTTCGTAATTGTTGTTTCTTGAAATGTAGTACTATTATTCAAGAGGATGTTCATGGAGGGTGAATCTTATAAACCATCCAATTTCACTCTCTCTCTTCTGACCCCCCCCCCCCCCCAAAATTCTGCACAATTCCAATCTTCATGCCTGACGTTAATGCTGAAACTCTGATTTTATCTTCACAGCAACTTTTGGACATCCTATTCTTCTCCACTTCAAATGTATTTGCGCTTCCAAAGGACTAATATTGTCCTTTTTCTGATCTGAGTCGCTATTGAAATAAAATCCGAGCTGTTGCAATATGATTTTTGCCCATTTAACTACTACTAGTGGTTAGAATCGTTAAACACTAGTGTTAATGTTTGATATTTTTAGATGTCATATATTTAAATAGATGAAAATTATTTCAAAATGAAATATTCACAAATATTATGCATTCAATTTAATAATTTTGTACAAAGGCGCGAACATTTTTTGCATCAATCAACTTTTAGTATAAAAACCAATATTGGTGATTTAATTAATTCTGTTGAATTTTGTACAGTTCATACTACAAAAAAATGTTCAATGAGACTTGTATATCTTGGAAGTAAACTTGCCGAACCTTTTTTAAATATTTCAATTGAATCATTATGGTGTAAGATTCATTTTGTGATCAGTTGTTTTTTCTTTTATAATCTTGCAAGTTTGAAATCAATGATGGAACTAAGGGGGGCTAATAGGGGCCATAGCCCCCCCTAAAGTTTTAAAAATTGTAATTTATATTGTGTAAATATTTGTGTAAAACAAAGTTGGCTCTCCTAATTTTTTACAATTTTAGTTTATATTATGAGAATATATATATATGGATATATGTGTGCATGTGTGTGTGAATTAACTACATTTGAATTAATTTTTTTCTTAAAAAGTTATTTATTTTTTAATCCCTTTATAATTAAAATTAAAATTTAATATTTTTAGATGTCATATATTTAAATAGATGAAAGTTATTTGAACATAACACATAATAATAATTATGTTAGGAAAATTTTTAACCCCTCTTAAAAAAAAACTTGACTTCATCACTGATTGAAATGTTTATAAATGGGATCCATTCATGGTAAGAGTATGATATATACTGTTTTTTTCACTATATTTAATTTGTGTGATGACAAATGAAAATGGGTAAAATGGGTTGGTTATCATTAGTTTTGCGCATGATTATGAGAGTAAAATACATTATGATAATAAGATGCGTATAGTTGTGAAATTTGTAATCAAACAGACTCCTAAATTTTTGGATATGTGACTTTCGTAGTTGCGAGTTTCTTAAATTAGCAATTAGTTATTGCTATCAGTGATGTGATAAGTGTGAGTATTGCTATTAGTGATATAGTAAGTGTCAGTAGTAAATGTGAGACGTAAATTTTTTGCGGACGTGGTTATTATCTGTTAGTTAAAACTTAGGGTTTTAATTTTGTGGGTTAGTGGATCACATAAATTAAAGAGTGGAAAGGGATAAGGAGAAGATAAGGATTATTGAACTAAAATAAATATAAAATTATAGTAAAAAGGGATTTAGATTTCCAATGTTTGTGGAAGTTCCTCGTCAAAAACCTGTCTAATATATATAGATATAGATATAGATACCTTTAACATCTGATTATATATTGTTGATACTGCCAATCAATGTAATCACAAATAATTTTCATGCATAACTACCCACAAACATTGTAATCACCAAGTTAATTAAAAGTCTATTAAACAAACTTTAAAAGATCAATTTTTTTTAATGAAAAATGTATACTAAATTCTTTCATATAAAAAGGGATTGTTTCTGAATTGTATATACATCGAGTGTATCCTTATCATTGGTACTAATAGTAGTGTATTACAAGGATTTTTCTTCGCAGACAAATCTATACAAATTTAATAATATCAGCTGTTCTCCTCCTCGTGAAATCCATTAAAAAAAAGAGAGAGAAAAGATGAGTTTTGAAGTGTATGTATTTGAATTGGGTGTACTAATAAACATTGAGCATATACTTCTTTTTTTTTGTGTTAGAATAGTACTTCTTTTTTTTTTTTTTGGTGTGTTAGAATACCACTACTTTTTTTTCATAATTAGAATACTTTGCTGCGTTTGGATTGAGTGTTTTTTCACCTGTTTTTGAAAAACTGTTTTTTACATTCCAAATGCTACAGTAATGTGTATTTCAAAAACAACTTCAAAAACACCATATCCAAACAATATATCAAAAACAACTCCAAATATATTTCAATTATGTATATTTAATTTGTATATTTTAATAAGTATATTTCAATTTGTATATTTTAATTATGTATTTTAATATGTATATTTGAATTATATTTTAATATATTTTAATATGTATATTTCAATTATGTATTTTAATATGTATATTTCAATTATGTATATTATATATATATATTATATTAATATAAATATATTTATTTCAATTATGTATAATATTATATATATTATATAAATTGAAATAAATATTATATATTTATATAAATACATTTATTTATATATAAATTTATAAATATATTTATTCAATTTTGTTTTATAATATATATTAATATGTATATTTCAATTATGTATATTATACATAAATTATATTAATAATGATGTATATTACATATATTATACATTTCTAATATTATATATTTATACATACATATTATAAATATTTTATTTTATTTATAATATATTTTTATATATTTATAATATATTTACATAAATATTATATGTTATATAAATTATATATAATATATTATACATTTATATAAATGTACATTTATACATAATATATAAATATTTATGTATATTTATAATATACATTTATATTATGTATAATATATAATATAATACATTTATATTAATATACATAATATTAAGTTTACATTTATACATAATATTAATACATGTATATATTTATATTAATTATATTAATACATTTCTAAATAATATTAATATATATTTATAATTTATTAATTTATACATTTATATAATATTCATTTATAATTTATACATTTTTAATAATATACACTTATACATTTAAATATACATTTATATTATGTATTATATATAATATAATACATTTATACATTTATATTAATATACATAGTATTAATTTTACATTTATACATAATATCAATACATATATACATTTATATTAATTATATAAATACATTTCTACATAATATTAATATATATTTATAATATATTAATTTATACATTTATAATAATATACACTTATACATTTATAAATATATTTATATTATGTATTATATATAATATAATACATTTATATATTTTTATATGAATATATAAATATATTTATTTATAAATATCTATAAATGTATTATAAATGCATAAATGCATATTAGTATAAAAATATAAAATTTATAATTTATAATTTATACATTTATATAATATTCATTTATAATTTATTCATTTATAATAATATACATCTATATATTTGTAAATATAAATGTATTATAAATGCATAAATGTATATTTATATAAAAATATAAAAATTATAATATTCTAAAAATACTCAAAAATATGTTTCAAAAATAACTCTAAAAATAATCCAAAAAAATCTACAGTAAAAGTTTTTCATATAGTTTTTGAAAAACAACCCAAAAAATAACTAATCCAAACGGATTTGTTTTTCAGATTCAAAATGCTATAGTGGTGTTTTTGAAAAACAAACCCAAAAACAGCTAATCCAAACGGAGCCGTCTTTAGAAAAAAGGAGGAGGAGAAGAATAACCGGCAAATACACCATCTGGATTCTGGATCTGTCTCAATCTCTCTCACGCACAGAAAAACAGAGGGACGGTCCGCCCGTAAAAAGAGGCAGGGCGGGGGAATTGGACTCTCTCATTCGTTTCAATTCATTTCCAGAACCACAATTCCACTCCCCCTTCTCTCTCTTTCCCCAGCATCATTCATTCACTAGTCATCCGTCCTTTTTCCCATAGCGCTCTCTCTGGATTCTTTCTTCTTTTTATCTCTGAGCAACTTCATTTGCAGTAGTAATAACAATCTACAGGGACAGCCACCCCCATTGTGATTGCATTTTGCCTCTATATACTACACAAATTTAAGGAAGCGGAGCTTTGGTTGGTTGTGGCCGCATTGTTTTTCGTCATCTACAACCAACAAACTCTCAGAATCGTATTCCCGTCTCGGTTTTGCCTCTTAACGAAAATCCCTGATTGTCCCCACCTCGTCCTCTTTCTTTCAAACGCTGTTACTAGCCTCATCCTTCACTTTCTTCATTGCCGCTGCTGCCCTCCTCCTCCTCCTCGACCACCATTAAGGAGCCAAGTATATCATTCCTTTCTTTTTTTCTTTTCAAATAGGAGGCATAATAGCAGAGTAGTACTATCTTTTTTCCTATGGGAAGGACGAGGGATACAGGCCTTAGCACAAAAGGTAGGCGTAGGAGGGTGTCGAGGATTGGAAGCTATGCTATAGCCTCCTCAATTGCCGATCCTACCTGCATTTCTTGTACCACCTTCAACATCCTTGCCCCTATCTACAAGCGTCTCAACCATGAGGTTCCTCTCTCTCCCCCTCTGTATGTGTTTTCTATTTCATTCTCTTTTCACGAAAAGGATTAATTGGTTGGTCTTTCCTTTCTGTTGAGGTTGATTGCTTATTGGGTTTGGGTGGGGGATGGCAGGACCAGAGTATCAGGGAAAGCGAGAAGAAGGCTTATTGGTTGAACAGGAACCACAGGATATTGGATTGGTTGTTGTACGAAAGATCTTCCATTATCTGCCTCCAGGTAATCTTTCCTCGTGTAGCTCTTGTTATTCCTTCCTCTCCTTAACAATTCTGATTAAATTCATCGTCTTGACACCCCCTTTTGTGCTATGTTTTTTCCAAATACAGGAATTTTGGGTTGGAAACGAAGAGCTTGTTAATATTTACAACAAGAGGCTTGGAGCTGCTGGCTATACTATTTTTAAACTCGCGCGAACCAACAATCGTGGCGATGGTACTGGCTCCTTTCAACCCCCCCCCCCTTCTCCTTCCTTTTCGTTTATTTTGATTTTTTTTTTAAAAGAAATCATTGAACTGGGGAGGCTCTGTGGAAGTCATCATTAAGTACTATTGTCACATTTGGTTTTGGTCATCTGTACTTTGCGTTGAAATTGCCAATGTGAGGCCTGCCTGCTGCATCCTTTTCCCCCATGTTCTAACTTCTAACTTCTTTTCTTGGTTTATCCTCATTTTTATCTGCATTCCAATAGCGCATTTCCAGTAGGCAAATTGCTCTATTGCTGGGTTCTTAAATGGTACAGAGTGAAGGTAAAGAGATGTGGAAAAGCAAGAGCAGAGGAATATGAAAATGAAGAAGAAATGATATAGTTTTGATTGGGGGAATCGAAACCGTCAAACAGAGTTGTTAGCGAAGTAGTTAGTCGAGGAGTACTAGTTTTGCTGCCCGACTCCATGATTTTTTTTTTTTTGGGCGTTTGCACATCTGACGCCATATATGCTGATAAAATTATCTTGTTGACTTGGGTACAAGCATACGTGATAATTCTTTAGAGCATGTGGGGGTTGAACCAACATGTTATGGGTTGACATTAGCACTGCCTAGTGAATAAAGTGAAAAAAAAAATGATCTTAACTCTAGGTGAAGAATTAGAATATTTTAGAATTATGCTTCCTAGCTAACCTGCCTCCCCCCTCCCCCTCCCCCTTGCCCTCTGAAATTGTACAGGTTTGTTGACTGCTGTCCATCGGGACATATTTAGGGTCATGAACCACCGAGAGTTGCTATTTAATGATTTCGGAGACCGAGTTGCTCAGCTGTTGCATGTTGAACTTATTGCACCTTTCTCACAAAGTCGAAATAGCAATGTTCGTCAAGAAATTCTCATTGTGAACACCCATTTGTTGTTTCCACACAATTCAAGTCTGTGTTTGGAAAGACTGCGGCAGGTCTGTCAAATCTCTTTATTCAAGTCGTGGTCGTATACTGCTAATTTGGTGAACCATAGCATGGTTTGCTTCATATGTCCACTCACTGATGCTTTTTTTTATTGTCATGCCACCCATAAATAGGTGTACAAAATATTGCAGTATGTGGAATCTTATCAAAAGGAAAACAAGCTCAACCCCCTTCCCATTATCCTCTGCGGGTAAACCTCTTTTTAGTTATTTTGCAAATAATCCCAGCCATTGTTAAAGTATTACTCATAACATGCTCCTTTCTTTGCCATTTCAGAGATTGGAACGGAAGCAAGCGAGGTCATGTTTACAAGTTTCTGCGATCTCAGGGATTTGTATCATCATATGATACTGCTCATCAGTACGCTGATGCTGATGCACATAAGGTGACTTGCTTTTCATATTCATAATTGCTTGTAGGAGTACCAAGTTTACTCCAGTGTCTGACATCTTAAACTTTTATGCAGTGGATAAGCCACCGTAATCATCGTGGAAATATCTGTGGTGTAGATTTCATATGGCTACTGAATCCGAACAGATATCGAAAATTACTGAAAACAAGTTGGAGTGAAGCTGTCTTTGGAATGTTCAAGGTGAGATAATGCGTCCAACTTTGTGTAACTTTTCACTCTACAGTGCTTTTATTGAGACTATTATTTTTCTTTACATGCTTGATGTAGTTTTGATCTTCTAGTCCTTGTTGGTTGACTGCTCTTTAGATGGCTGAAAAGGCTATAGTACAGAGTTTTATACTTAGTCGTGTTCACTTTAACCCTTGGAACTCTGGATGCTGAACTGTGACCATATCCACTAACCATAACCTTGTAGCCATGGGTTTGGATTTGTATCACCTTCTTTGGGCATATATGTTTGCCCTTTCTCCTTTATGGTTGGCTTCCTGTTTTGCGACAGATGGCACTTTCATATGGAAATTAATATTTTGGACTTAAAAAGATAATAAAATAATTTATGCAGCATCTTTCTCAAATTACTTTGATTATTTGGTACAAGATATATTATTGGGTGCAATATATCTTTTGGACTTAAAAGATAGCCTTACTCGTTGGCAACAACTGTTGTCTATGATTTGAATTCTGTTTTTTTCTGTGCTTTCTTTCCTCAGTGATACATATTCCGATTATGGTCTTCTTTTTTTTTTTTAACATTTGATGGATTTCAGTATCAACTTCGACGAGCTTCATTGACAGAGCACGATGCATTTGCCTTTTTGAAGGCTGATAGTGACGGTGATTACATTACTTGCACTGGTTTCTGTGAAGCATTGCGGCAGGTAGCACTATAAATTTATACTTAACAAGTACTCTACACGATAACAAGTCATTCAATTTTGTTTAATCTAAGGTCAATTCTTCAATCTGATTTTATTTCATAATTTCTCAGCTTAAATTGGTTGGCCATTGCTATGGGCTAAGCATAGAGGAGACTAAAGACTTGTGGGTGCAAGCAGACATTGATGGAAATGGTGTTCTTGATTTTGAAGAATTTGAGGTATTTGATCTTTTTCTTTTGTAGCATATTGTGCTGTCAGCTTCACATGTATGGCTTGCCTTCTGTGCGTTGAAACGTCCTTCATCAAATCTTTCCTTTTAAATATAGTTATCAATTGAACTTTTCTAAGTTGGTCTCTTGGAGTACAGCAAAAGGAAATTGAACTTTTCTTCAGATTATGTCATCTAGTAGTTCGTTCAAAGGATTTAGTCGCCTCTTATATTGCTATCCTTCTGAGAGTGCTACTTCTTCAGATTTGGACACCTATGCATGGACGATAACTTTTTTTTTTTCTCAATAATGAAATTGCAGCAACGAATATGGCACCCTACATGGTCAGAGGTTAGAGAGGAATTTAGCAAGGACGGGTGGGAAGATGTTGTCCATGGTACAGAGCAAACAATTGGTTTCAGCGTGAAGAATGCAGTACTTTTCCCAACAGAAGTAGAGAAAGGGATGTGGCCTGAGGACTATTCACTCTCTGATCATGCCCGGCTTACTGTGGTGTTTTCACCAGTAAGAATGCCATGTTCTCGTCTGATATCCTGACAATTGGGTGCTGTAAGGCTTGGTTCTTATGCTTGTGACTCAAGAAAACAGGACCGAAGGTTTTACGAGTCTGTTTAATGCTGAAACGACCCTCGGATGGGTTCAAGTTGAAGATGCGGAGTTTGAAAAGCACATATCTATCAGGATGACTATTGCACCCACCCTCACAGACAAAAAAAGTGGACTTTCATTTATCTGAGGTTTAGACCTGTTTGGAGCAGCATTGTCAGCTGAAGCTGGTTGCATTCTCTCTCTCTGTCTCTCTCTCTCTTGTTGCATCCGGATCTCCCACTGATGCGGTGGATCCATGGATCTCACTGCATAGCCTCCTGCTTTTGCATTGCGTCTAGAAGAAAGGAGAAGGAAGCGGGATGTGTGGATGGTGTTAAAACAGGTATCTTGGTAGCAGTCTCCTGTTGTAGTGGAGGGAGATGGCACGCTGGGCTGGTTTCTGTAATTAGACTGCCAAAAGTTCAGGTTAGTAAGGGCGACATGAAAGTCCTTTTAAAGGAATTCAAGATTAGCAATGTTGTTGACCTTGTAAAGGAATTCTGGTTATACTACTGCCTTCCCTTTTGTACCTGTTCCAAGTATTCCAGTTCAATGACGACACAGGGAGAGAAAAGGCGAGTCTACTCATTTCCAGTTCCAAGTACTCCAGTGTCTGTGTGATTCATGGAAGTCCTTTTGTTTTGGTAAAGGGCCATTGTGCCGCCGTGCGGGATCCCAGAACATCTGCTGACAAAATTGGGATTCTTGGTGGAGATAATTTTTTTTTTTTTTGGGCAGATATATAAAATAACAAAGAAACTAAAATGTAATGATAGTCGTAAATTGTAGTCGTAATTCAGGTTGACGGCTGATGATGAAATATATATATATATATATATATAAATTTGGATTATATGTTATGTATTTAATGATGAAAGTGTATATATTTTCAGTGTATAGAAGATTAATCCAATATATATATATATATATATATATAAGTAGCTATTTTAATTAGACTCTTTCTCACTCATACTTGGCATGCTCAATTGAGCAGCATTGACGGGTCAAGTTTTCTTTTGGGTTGACCCAATTAATTGGTTAGTGTTAATAATTCTTTCCAAACTTGTAAAATGGATATATTTTATTCACTTAATCATATATCTTTGAAAAATACATATATTTTATCCACTTAATAACATATCTTTCAAATCCTACGTTCTACAAAAAAATCGTCTCATTCTTTTAAAATTTTCTCTTCATAGTCTCCAACTTTTATCTTAGATAGAATTTATCTATTTTATAAGAGAATATCCCTTTTCACTCAAACAGTATCCACTCCTTTTTATTATGAATAGATAAATCTATTATCTATCCGTCAAAATTCATTCAGATATAAAATAATCCTTATCATCAAAATTAAAAATTTATTCTTCTATTAGATTAACCTCAAATTTGAAATCATATACCATTCTTATAAAATGTAATAGTTAGTGATGATTTCGATCTTCTCATACTCAAGAAATCCTATACCATGCTCAAGAAAACTTTTTTTTTTTTTTTGAGAAACTTTATGATGATTTAGTAGTGGTTCTTTTGATACATTAGTTTTATAACTTCTAGAGTATATATGTTTTAAAAATGTTTGCCCACCTTTTGAGGGTTTTCAAGTATATAAGATGATTTTTAAGAACACAATTCGTTTGCGCAATGTTTTTGTTGACTATACGAATGTATGGAAAGTTCGTACTTTTTTTTGTACCTTCTTAATTGCTTTATATATTAGATCCTTTTTTCAATATAGGTTTAATTTTGCACCAAGAAGATGGCATTTGAACATCTAACCTTTCAATCATGGGAATGTACAGCGTATGTGTAAGTTCTTCCAATTTGCATTAGTTCAATTAATTAGTTCGTTCCTCGCTCTGTCTTATTTATTTATTCATTCTGTTTTAGTTAATTGATTATGTTGTGGCAATGGAAGCAAGATGGACTTACATGCTAAGCAAGATGTGTGTACGTTTTCATAAATTAGTTGACTCATATATATATATATATATATATATATATTGGAATATTGTTCCCAAATCGAGTTTTACCCAATTTATTTTTCACTACTCCTTCTTTTAATCATATTTAATAATTGTATATATGTTCAATTTATTAAAAGTTTTAAACACTTTGTACTAGATAAATATTAAATATTTTCATAATCGCTATAAACTATATCAACTGTGCAAGTGCACGGGTTAAAATATAGTTGAAATTGAAGGGCATACGTTGATCGATCATCCTAAAGAAAATTGCAAGGGTTACGACTTGGTGTAAAATGTTCACTTAAATTGAATTTTATATTTTTCAAAGAGTACATTTATGCTAAGCGATTTTAAAAAAATAGTAGTATGAGTTAAACATTCTTAAAAATCAAGAAATGTGCCCTCGTATCATTTTAGTACTACCCCGTCCCATAAAATTTGTCGTTATATATATATAGCGATATTAATAGGAATCAGAATGTTTACTTTCCTTATACTTCCTTAGTGGTAAGCCATCTTTTCGAGAGAGAAATAGTCCAAATCAATGTTGTTAAAGTCAGACCGGATAGTGATTCGGCTAAACTATTGAGTCAGAGATCAATTGGCCGAATCAGTCGGACCGTTCTAAAAAACCTGCTGACATTAGCATGATGTCATAATTATTCTATATTTTTATAATTATATCTTTCCAATTACCTTTTTATCTCACATACATCACATCACAAAAAGTGCTATAGTAAAAAAATCTCTAGTGTGTTTGGACAGCCAATTATTTGGCCAAATATATTTGCTGACATCACCATTACAATTTCCAATACACCTTTTTATCTTCCCAATTACCTTTTTATCTCACATACATCACATCACAAAAAATGCTACAGTAAAAATATTTCAAATAACTTACAATCCAAACACACTACTCAAATAATTTACAATCCAAATAGAGCCATTGAAATTAAGTTATTGGTTATATTCGACCAATCATACAAAATGTTTAAAAAATATTAGACTTGTAATCAAATATATACCTAATAATTATATATAAAAATGTAAATTCTTGACTAAAATATGCCCATTTTTCAAAATTACTTGAAAACTTAAATTAAAATAAATTAATGCAAGTTGGAATCACTTATGATAGGAATGAAATGTCTTGATTTAGATATCTTTTAAGAAAATGAGTGATTTTGGTACTTATACTAAGTCGGTGGCGTTTTCATATTTCTATTAATAAATAAAAGTGTTACAATTTAGATAACTCGAATTATGTTTGAAAAAAACTAGAAAGAAAAGTTTGAGAACACAGTAAACTAGTCGAACTGGGTCACTAGTTTAACTAATTTTTGATGATTTTGACTAATTTTAGACCAAAGTGATTTTGTGCTATAAACTAACTTGAGTAGAAGATCGGTTCACGATTGGACCGGCCAAACCAGCCGATCCAATCTGGGTCTAACAACACTTGTCCAAATCATTGATTTTTTTAAGATGACGATTAATTTGGGAAAAGAAAAAGCGATAAACTTGAAATTTTATGGGACTAAGAAAATATGTTGTTTAGAGTAGAAAATTTTTTTTAATAAAAAAATTTTTCCTTTTCAAAATAAGAAATGATTATGGCAACTTCAAAGTTCTACACGTGCACATTCATAGTAGTTTTGTCTGCAACTTAGGCCCTGTGTTTACAAGTAAGTTTTTTAGGTGTTTGTCTAAAATTTTATTGTAACTTATTGTAGAAGTTGTACAAAAAATTATTGAAATGTGTAAAATTTTGGATATTTTGAAGTGTATAGTTTAAAAAATTTAAAAGTTTTTAAGACTACTGTAGTTAAAATTTTTAAAAAATTTGTAACAAACAAACTTAGCAAAAAACTTGCTTGCCAAACAAGGCCTTCAAGAAGTTTCGATCCTTTTTATGTCAAGCTATAAAAAATAAAAAAAAGAAGGGGTAAAAAGAAAATGAAAAAAAAAAAGATTTTTCTTGGTACGGAGAAGCTGCAGCTTCCAAGGGAAGGTCCGTCCAAGTCCAACCGCTGAAGATGACTCCAAGTTTCCAACGTGGCAACTGGTAATTGGGGCATTGACTTTTACGGCATCTCTCACCTTGCTCGTTAAGCTTCCCTGAAAGTTGAAATCCCAATCGTACCCATACGTTATCCTCCAATGGGCAGAAATGATAAGTTAAGAAAGTGCAATGGCATGATTGAAGTTTGAGTATAAAACCACGTCCGAACATTTTACGCGGTATATACGCAGAATTAAAACGCGGACCCCTGCTGCTGCGTAATAGGTTTGTAGGGGTTAACTTTTCTCTGTTGTTTTTTATGGGTTGTGGAGAGCGGCAATAGTAGTACTAGTGTAGTAGGAGGGGATACGAATGGGTAAAGTAGTCGCGGAAGGAGTAGCAGTAGCAAATTACTAAAAAGAGAGGGTGCGGGGTTTGGGAAGTGAAGTAAATTCCTTAGATGCTTCCTCCATTTGTTCTCTCTCTCTCTAGAAGCATTACGCGGCCGAAATTTCCTTGAATCTTTCCTCCTTCCTTCAGCCTTTCTTTTAACCCCTCCTCCCTCCTCCCTGATCCATCATCCTGATTCCTGGCCTTTTAGGGTTTTGTTCTCCCTCTCCAATTCCTCTAACTTTCGCTTTTCAATACGGCTTATAATTTTGCTTGAAGAAAAACTAGCCTTTGGTGGAAGATGATGACTGTGCTTCCCGTGAAACAGTTGCCGGTCGGTTACAGGTTCCGCCCCACCGACGAGGAGCTCATCGATCACTATCTGCGGTTGAAAATCAACGGTTTCGACAAAGATGTCAGTATTATTCGTGAAGTTGATATTTGCAAACGGGAGCCTTGGGACTTGCCCGGTGATTACATCCCCCCTCAACTTCTCCTTGCCTCCTCCTCCTCCCCCTCTCCCCCCCCCCCCCAAAAAAACACCAAAAAAGAACTCAATCTCGAATTTATCCCAAATATGGGTGTTTTTCTCTTTATATTTCACCAATGTAGGCCAAGTTTCGTGGATGATTAATTAACGTTTTTTTTTATGCGCCGAAAAACATCTGTCGCAGGGAACACATTCCAGCTAGCAAAAGATAGAATCTTTTGGGTATTTTCTGCTGTGAATCCATGTGATCATAAGCATTTCAAGGATGATTGCTCATGTTTGTAGTTTTATGCGTGCTTTGATCATAGGCACTTTGATTGTTTTCTGCTGTGAATGTTTGATCATAACTTATTGGCGAATTTGTCCCAAAAATATGGGTGGTTTTCTCTTCACATTTTTACCAATGTAGGCTGAGTTTCGTGGATGATTAATTAATAGTTCTTATACGCCGAATAAACGTCTATCACAGGGAGCACGTTCAACTTAGCAAAAGATAGAATCTTTTGCGTATTTTCTGATGTAAATTCATGTGATCATAAGCAGTGCTACTATGCTTGCTTTTGTTAACTAACTCCTCCTAGTTTTGGTTTTGTGCGTGCTTTGCTTATTGACTAATTGTTGAATGTCTGATCGTGATTGTTTTTACAAGTTATATATTATTAAGCTTATTTTT